TGATTGCGACACTCCTATGAGGGATTTTGAGAATGAGGGAGGCTGAGCCAAGTGAGGGCTGTGAGTTTATGGGAAGTATCCGTACCTGCCACTCAGTTTGGCTGTGAACTTAAAACAAGTCTAAAAGATGTGTGTTTTTTAATACATTTTATTGATTTTTTACAGAGAGGAAGGGAGAGGGATAGAGAGTTAGAAACATCGATGAGAGAGAAACATCGATCAGCTGCCTCCTGCACACCCCCTACTGGGGATGTACCCGCAACCAAGGTACATACCTTTGACCGGAATCGAACCTGGGACCCTTCAGTCCGCAGGCCGATGCTCTATCCACTGAGCCTAACCGGTCAGGGCGATGTGTATTTTTTTAAAAATGGAATGAAATATCCAAGAACTGTGGGACAATTACAAAATGTGCAAAAAAAATTAATGTAATCCATTACATCAAAAAGGTAAAGAAAATATATATGATCTTATCAATAGAAACAGAACAGTACTTGACAAAATTCAACACGCATTTATGATTTTTTTAAAAACTCTCAGAAAACTGCATAGTTGGAAACTTCCTCAACTTAATAAAGAATATCTACAAAAATACTTATAAAATAACCTCATACTTAATGGTGAGAAACCAGAAACTCTCCTCTTAAGACCAAGAACAAGGCAAGGATGCTCCCTCTTGCTATTCCTACTCAGCACTGAACTGAAAGTGCCAAATAATTCAACAGGACAAGGAAAGCAAATAAAAGGAAACAGATTGGAATAAAAATAACTTTGTTCAGAAACAAGACTGTTTATATAATCAATCCAAAAGAATAGGAGGAAAACCCTATAGGACTATTAAATGGAAATAGTAAGGTTACAGAATACAAAGTTAATACATAAAGGCAATTGTGGGTTTTTTTCATATATCAGCAATAAAAATTTTGAATTTAAAATTAAAACAACAATAGCATTTATGTAGCACCAAACTATGAATTACTAAGGTGTAAATTTAACAAAATACATGCAAGATAAATATTTTAAAACCACAAAACTCTAATGAGAGAAATCAAAGAATATCTAAATAAGTGGATAGATATTCCATGTTCATAGATAGGAAAACTCACTATTGTTCAGATGTCAATTCTGCCCAATGTAATGTACAAATTGAATGCATTCCCAATCAAAATCCCGCCACGGTATTTTATAGATACAGACAAACTAAAGTTTATATGGACAGGCACGAGGCACAGAATAGCCAACACAATACTGAAGAAGAACAAGTTTAGAAGAGCACTCTGATTTCAAGACTTAAAATAAAGCTACAGTAATTAAGGCAGCATGGAATTGGTGAAAGAATCAACAAGTAGATCAATGGAACAGAATAGAGGCCAGAAACATATTCCCACAGTCAACCTGTACCACCTTCTCAATTTTTTCTGTAAATCTAAAATTGTTCTATAGAAATAAAGTACACTAAATATTTTTTAAGTCCATCTAGGAATCCTCCTTTAAACGAATCTGGTCTGGCATCTTTAAAAGTAAAATTTCTCTAAATTTCCTCTATTAAAGTCTCACATCTCCACAAGATTTTATTTGGTTTCGTATTTCCTAGGTCATTTTTGTCAGAATTGAGGGGTGGGGTAGTGAGAATTCAAACATATGTCCTCAAACTGCCGTCTGTTCTCCAAATGGTATCCCATATGTTGTTGATGTGTAGAATTTTCATTGTTGACATTTATGAATTGACTATAATTGTACTTCAATTTCCTTCTTGACTCGAGTTAATTATAAGGGCGTTTACATTTCCAAGTGGTATTAAAAAACATAATACTAATGTCAGCTTTTATTGCTTGTAAATTGGCACAACTGCCACTTTTTGGAATCTATTGAGGGGTTTTTTTCATAGTTTCATTTATGACCAATTTTTGAAATATTACCCTGATATTTTACAATAATGTGTATTATTCTTAAATTTTGTTTTTTCCTATCTATGTATAATTGTATTTGTTCCTCTGTAAAGCTCTGAGCATTTTAGTAGTTTATATTTAGTGTTAAGTTATTAATAAGTTTATTAATATTTTCTTGCCATGATGTTTTGTATCTTTTACAAATAGAAATAACCCCTTTGTCACATGAACTGCTATTTGCCTTAAATTTAATTTGTCAAATAGTAGTATTGTAATGAATGCCTCCTTCTCATTTTTAGTTGCTTGACATTCCTATCTATCATTCCATTTGTAAACTTTGATAACCATTTGGTTTTAGAGGTTTCTCTTCTAAATAGGACACAGTTGGATTCGGGGAGAGTTTTGTAACCAGTCCTTGTTTGTTTCAGTGAAGGGGCTCAAGCCATTTCTACTGGTCGTGACAAGTCGTCTTTGGTGTTATTTCAGGCACCTCATTTAATGTTTCCGTCTTAAACTGTCTTCCTATTTGCTTGTGTTTCCCTTCCTATTTGGTTACTCATTATGGTAGGCTAAAAGTGGCCCTCAAAAAATATCCAGTTTCTAATCTCCAAAGCCAATGCATGTTTAGCTTATGTGGCAAAAAAAAAGAAAAGAAAAAGAAAAAGAAACCATAGAAAACTTTGCAGATGTGATTAAACTAAGGATCTTGAAGTGGGGAGATGACTCTGCATTATCCTGGTGGGTCTGCTACAATCATCTGTATCCTTATAAGGGGAGAGTTGACTCAGAGACAGAGGAGGCATGGTAACCACGGACTGGGAGGTGGGATGGGTGTGGTCAAAGGATGCTGGCGGCCACCTGCAGCTGGAGAGGAGGTCCTGATGCTCCTCAGCACCTCCAATGCAAGGGGGGTCCTGGAACACCCTGATGTTGAGCCTCTATAACTGATTTCGGACCTCTGGTCTCCAAAAATGAAAGAATACATTTATGTTGGTTTAAGCCACAAAGTTTGTGGTAATTTGTTCCAGTAGCCATAGGAAACTAATAAGATAATTTTCTCCATTTTTATTTCACTCTATGATAGCTTATCTTTAATTTTAAATTTAATATCAAAGTAAAAAGCAAAAGAGACGCCTGAATGCCTAAATGGAAATGTAACATGACTTCTTTCCTTCTACCCTCTCTTCTCAACTTCCCACATTTTTTTCTGAAATACGTCATAACTATACTCATAGTTGTTTGTAAACATTTTGTGTTTTTCTGACTCATTGCTTACCTTAGCTATTATTATTCAATCCCCTTCCCTCTTCTTGAGTTCTTCATTTTGAAACAATTCCCAATAGGCAGAAATATTTCCTCAAGGAAGATTTTTCAGGAAGGAGAAGTGCTGTTATATTTTCTC